AAAGTCACCCAGTTGGCTTTCATGCCTAAGGCGGGACTAGAACTCCCCGTCTCCTGGTGATTGGCCCAAAGTCACCCGGTTGGCTTTCATGCCTAAGGCGGGACTAGAACTCCCCATCTCCTGGTGATTGGCCCAAAGTCACCCAGTTGGCTTTCATGCCTAAGGTGGGACTAGAACTCCCTGTCACCTGGTGATTGGGCCAAAGTCAGCCAACTGGCTTTCGTGCCTAAGACGGCACTAGAACTCACTGTCACCATGTGATTGGCCCAAAGTCACCCAGGTGCCCTTTATGCTAAGATGGAACCAGAAAAAGGCATCTGACAGGGTTGAGACTTCCAATCTAAACCCAGCCACCTATTAGAACTGACTTCTTCCGGCCTGGAAAGACAAGCTACCAGGACCTCCAGCAGGTTCTGGCTCACAACCCACCTCCTTGTATGTGTGATGGAGCAGCTGTTGAAAACGTTTATCCTTCAAGATAGCCTTGTGGTCCAGTTTGAGCTGCGAGGCCAGGTGGGATAAGCGTGTGATCAGGAGGGCGGCCTGGTTCCCGCTGATGTCGTGCAGATGTTCCGGAGCGAGGAGTTCCTCCATGCTGGATGACACCATGATGAGGTCTTCCCACCTGGGGGGCTTCTCCGGGGTTTTGCTCTCCAGCTCCTTCACGGAGAAGCGGTCGGCCACTTGCGAGAGGTTGTAAGTGGTCCTCAAGGCGAAGGGAGGCCTTTTGGACCACGGGGCCTGGGACAACGGACCAGCTTGGTGGCCCAAGGAGGAGACGGTTCTGTAAAGCCAACACCAGCGGTGCATCAGCCTGGCCGCCATCTTGCTGGGAAGTCTGCAGGGAAGGGGTGGAGAGGGGAGGGATTAGCCTTGATTATCAAGACGGGGAAGGCAAACGCTTTGCGTATAAACGGAGAGCAAACTCCCAATTCCTCATAGAACTGATGAGGTTCCCTAGTTGGGTCATGAAATGTCCGCAAGAAACCACCAAACTCCTAAGTCCTAAGGTCCTTCCTCCTCCAACCCCATTCCCTTCTACTGTTGATGACGTTCCCTGGCTGGGTCATGAGACGTCTGCAAGGAAGCCACCCGCAGAGAGCATCAAGGACCTCACAATTCCCTTCCTTCCTTCCTTCCTTCCTTTCTTCCTTCCCTTCCCTTCCCTTCCGTTCCCTTCCCTTCCCTCCTTCTAGCACTGATGGTGTTCCCTGGGTGGGTCATGAGACGTCTGCAAGGAAGCCACCCACCTCAGAAAGCACCCAGGATCCCACAATCCTCTCCACAACCGCCCCCTTCCTTCAAGCCCTGATGATGTTCCCTGGTTGAATCAAACAGTGGCACACCCAATCAAGCGAACATAAATATTCTCAATCAGAATAGAGCTGGGAGGGACCTCGGAGGTCTTCTAGTCAGCGGTCGCCAACTGGTGGGCCGCGGTCCACTGGTGGGCCGTGAGAAAATTTTGGTGGGCCGCAAAGAAATCTCACCCCCAGAACACCCCCCCAAAGCAATTAATCCAGGCTGCGCAGAAACACAAGTCTGCCCCGCCCACATGGCCCGCGGGAACCCTCCCCGCCCACTCACTCCTTACCCAGTAAACTTGTCTGCTAAGTTGCTATTTTTCCTTTTTCCGACCATCATCTGTTCTGCTGTGCCGGGAGATTTAGATTAGCTAGGAAGCAGGAAATGGCTGGGTTTCTTGCTTTCTAGCTAGTCTTTTAGATGTTCGGCTCTGCTTTTAAGCACAGCCGAACCTCCCTTAGGACTGAAGGTTCTAAAGCTCACGGCAAACAAATTTTATGTGACACACTGAGCTAGCCGATGGCAAATGGATAGATCACTGAATGATTCTGTGAGCAACTCAATCTGCCTGCCTGCTTTGCCTGATTTTGGGTAAAAGTTGCTTTTTTATAAAAAAAAATCATTATTTACATACATGGTGTGTTGTGAGTTCATTTTATGAGTTTGCTTGCAAGCAAATGTTATGTGACAGACTAAGCTAGCCAATGGCAGATAGATAGATCTCTGAATGAATCTGTGATTCTGTGAGCAACTCATAGAATCACATCAACTATGCCTGCCTGCTTTGTCTGATTTTGGGTAAAAGTTGTTCTTTTTTAATTAAAAAAAATCAATATTTATATAAATATATTATTTACATACAAGCCATGCCCAGTCAGTCACATGACCGCCAAGGCACACCCACAAATTAGGCCACGCCCACAGAACCGGTTGGTGGTCCCTGGGATTTAAAATTATGAGTTTGGTGGTCCCTGCGGTCCAAAAGGTTGGCGACCCCTGTTCTAGTCCAACCCCACTCAAGCAGGAGATAATGTATTATTTCTGATACAAAGACACCTCATTTCAACCCTAACCTGCAAATATTTGCCTTTAGGGACAAGCGACTGTCCCGTCTCTTCTTGAAAACCTCTAGTGTTGGAGCATCCATGATTTCTAGTGGCAAGCAGTTCCACTGGTTAATTGTTCTCAGTGTTAGGAAGTTTCTCCTTATTCTAGGTTGCTTTTCTCCTCGATGAGTTTCCAACCATTATTTCTTCTCTTGCCTTCTGGTGCTTTGGAAAATAAATTGACCCCGTCTTCTTTGGGGCAGCCCCTCAAATGCTGGAGTGCTGCTCTCATGTCCCCCGTACTCCTCCTTTACTCTACATTGGCCATACTCAACACCTGCCACTGTTCTTCCTACGTTTTACTCTCCAGTACTCGCCTTTCATCATCTTAAATGTTCTTCTCTGCCCTTTTCCCAAAGTCTCAACCTCTTTTTTTGGGGGGGGGGGGTGAAGGGGAATGTGGTGACCCCGCCCTCGATGCAGGACTCCAGGTGCGACTTTACTAAGTGGTAGTGATACTTCATGTGAGTTTCTATGCCTCTGTTTAGACAGCCAAGGATTGTCTTAGCTTTTTCAGCTGCCGTCGCATACGGCTGGCTCAAGTTTTAAGTTGTAATCCGCTCGGACTCCAAGGTCCATCTCGCAGTTAGGCCAGGTTTCACCTAATCTAACCAAAGGTGCAAGGACTTACAACCAAAATACAGTGGGACGAACCTGGTAACAGATTTTGGACAACAAAGAAAGGTAAGAAGGCATTTCATTTCAGCCCTGTTGGGTCGAGTAGGATCTCCTGCTCAAGCAAGGGGGTTGGACTAGATGACCTCTGACATCCCTTCCCATTCTGTTATTCTTTAAAGGTGTCCTGCTCAAGCAGGGGGGTTGGACTAGCCACTAGAAGATCTCCAAGATCCCTTCCAACTCTGTCATATTGGAAGAGTCTCCTGCTTGAGCAGGGGGTTGGACTAGATGACCTCCAAGATCCCTTCCAAATTTGTTATTCTGGGATTCTGTAAAGGGCTCCTGCTTGAGCAGGGAGTTGGACTATATGACCTCCGAGATCCCTTCCAACTCCGTTGTACAGATAAAATAATAATTCTTCATATTTACTACATTTGACAATCTTATATAGTTTTAGTAATACTACACATATTTTGTTGGATTAGAATCTTTCACTATCTGATTATTTGATATTTCAGTATGTTATTTTTATGCCCATCTCCATATTCTACATATCACTGCTCTTACTACAAAAAAAAACATTAATAATCATATCTGTTGTATTTAACAGACATATATTTCTAACTAGCTCAATTCCCGTACTCCGCTACGAAATTATGTGGTCAGGCTGTTTTGGGGGAGGAAAATAAGGAGAAAAAAAATCTGCTTCTGCCTACCAGCATCCATTGGTATTCATCTGGCTAGCGTCCTGTCAGCGTATGATGTTGAGGGCTGTTTGGAAACTGAAAGAGTATTTGCTGTGTGAGCAAGGACAGCAAGGAGCTCAACTATTGTGTACTAAAGCTGGTGGCTGCTGTGAAACTGAAACTCCTTTGCTTGTGTTTTGCATTTGGAAGAGATTTTTTTGCAGGTGGGGTGGGGGAGTAGAACTCCTTAGCATCAGAGCATGTTAATAATAATAATAATAATAATATAGGAAATACTAAATGCTCTGATGGTCATTTCGAAAAATCCTTTCTTAGTGAGCACCTAGAAGCCAAGAGGAACATAAGTGCCAAATTTCAAGTTTGTAGGCTTTACGGTTCTGGAGATATTGTGATGATGCATGAGGGGCATTTCGCTTTTATATATATACAGATGGAAGACGAGAAGAAAGAAGATAGTAATTCACATATTTATATTAAATTATAATCTTCCATTGTTTATCAACGTATGTACATTTGACAAGCGTATATAGCACACACCTATTTTGTTGGAATTATAATCCTTCATTATGAAAATTATTCAGTACTTCAGTATGGTGTGTTTTTATGCTGATCAAATTCTAGATCTCAATCCTATGACTAAGAACAGACTGTTAATAATCATATTCGTTACATTTCACAAAATATTGTGTGTGTGTGTGTGTGCATGTGTGATATTGATTCTATGCCTCTGACAAGCAAGGATAACGTTCGTTTTTTAGGTCATAAAAGAGTAGAACCATTTCTTGAATGACCGTTGCTACCCCGGCATTGCAAAGAATGACTTATGACCGTGTTTCATACCAATGACCATTGTACTTCCACCACCCCCATAGTCATGTGATCCAAATTCAGACACTTGGCACCCGGTTCGCATTTCGATGGTTGCAGAGTCGACCCGGGGGGGGGGGGGGAGGTTCACATCAATCCGCTTTTACGACTGTCTCCCCAGCAAAGTCAAGTGGGGAGGGGGAGAATTCATTTAACGTCGCATGACGCTTAAGCCGTGGCGGCGATTCACTTAACAGTGGCAAGTGAGGTTGTTAAAAACAGGGCCGAGACTCACTTAATGACAGTCTCGCTTAGGGGCAGACATTGGCAGGAGGCAATAACTGTAGTAAGTCCATGGCCGCAATCCAAAGGCAGTAATTCCCCACTGCTAAACAAGGGGGGATCATGGTCCTCGATCTTACGACTGCCACGGAACCCAAGATTTTTTTTTCCGCATCACTTGGAACGGGTCACAAAACGAAGTGTTGTAAATCGAGGACTCCCTGTAATGAATACATCATTAAGCCAGGTGGTCGTTCAGTCCACCCTGCCCCGTTTTACGACCTTGGCTTGCCTCCATCCTTAAGAGAACCCAGGAGGCTTGCTCTGCGAGAGGGCTGGACTGGATGGCCTCAGGGTGTACCCCATAGTAGGCACGTGGACCCCCAATGCCGGACGGACGGCATTGGGGGTCCACGTGCTTCGGGCGAGAGAGATGGAATATGTAGTCCAAGGAAATGGAGTCCAACCTATTGTTTTTGCATTGAGAAGAGAGATGGGCCGACGGACTGCCCCATTCCGGCCGGTTTTCCACCGGCAGCCGAGGGTGGAAAGCCTCGAGGCCCCGAGAACCATGCCCGGAGGCGGCTTACCTTCCCAGGGCCCCCGTCGCAGAGCGAGGACTGACCTCCACCCGCCGCCCGCACGTCCGCTGCGGCTCGGAAATGAGCGACACGTCGACCCCCGATGACGTCACGAGCCCGCTTCCCACCGTCGCGCGGTTTGCTCGGCCATACATCCCGGCGTCCATTTGGGGGGAAGACTTCAAATCCCAGCATTCTCAGCCATGACGATGGAGGGTGAGGGGCGCTGGGAGTTGAAGGCCTGAGCCTCTGAGGAGCCATGGTGTGAAACGGTTCTCGAAATGGATGAGCGGTTTAAGGCCAAAAACAAAACAAAACACGACCTTAGTTTAATATAGAAGTCTTCAAACCTGACAGCTTTAAGACTTCTGGACTTCAACTCCCAGAATTCCTCCTCCAGTCATGTTAGCTCAGGAATTCTGGGAGTTGAAGTCCACAAGTCTTAAAACTTGCCAAGTTTGAAGGACCTAGGCTGAGAGGACGCAGGACGCATGCGCACTAGGTAGAAAGTAAGTTTTAGGAATAAAGGATCCAGGCTGGGAAGATGTTCTCAAAGCGCATGCGCGCTTTAGGTGAGGGAAAGGGCTCAGTTTAAAAATAAAGAGCGCAATAAAGTCAGCGGCGCTTCCAGAGCGTTCAAAGGACTTCAACTTCCAGAATTCTCAGCCGTGACGACGGAGGGGGAGGGACTCTGGGAGTTGAAGGCCGCTGCCTCTGAGAAGGCCACAGGTCGGGAAACAGTTAAAGCGCATGCGCATTTCAGGATAGGAAAACGTAAAGAAAACGTTCTTAACGCACATGCGCACTTCAAGCGAAAAAAAAAAGACATAGAGCCCAACGTCTAGTTCTGGAGTCAGTGGCATTTCCGGAGCTCCCAGAATTCTAACCAGTGGTGGCGGAGGGGTAGGAATTGAAGACCGCGCTGTCAGGAGACCTAGACTGGGAAATCGTTGTCAAGGCGCATGCGCGCGTCAAAAAAAAAACCGCCTCAGTTTAGACATGAAGAGAGCTCAAGAGCTAGTTCTGACGTCAACGCCTCTTCCGGACTTCGAGGACTTCAAATCCCAGAATTCTCAGCAGTGATAAAGATGGCGAGGTCTCAGAATGCTCTGGCTGGGAAGACGTTCTCACGGCGCATGCGAACTTCAGGATAAACGCCTCAGTTTATTTACAAATAAAGACTTCCAATCTCAGATTTCCCAGTCAAAACGATGCAAGGGGAGGAACTCTTGGAAGGGAAGGCCGCGCCATTCATGAGGGCTGGAGGGGGTGGGGGCGAGAGAGAGAGAGAGAAAAGGACTTTCTCGGCGCACTTGCTGACTTGAGGAAAACGGAAAGGCCTCAGGGAAAAAAACATTCTGTTTAGGGAGTGCTCGCCTCCATCCCTCCACGCTAAACCCGAATTCTTCTCCCTCCACCGCAACTTTGATTAAAAAGAGCCGGGAAACGCTGGACTACGACTCCCGTCGTGCTTTGCGCGCGCACTTCCCCACCCCCGCCGGCCATCTTGTCCCCGCGAAAGCCGGGATTCGCCGCCGCCTACAAAACCGGGCCGAAGAGCCCCGCCTCTTCCGGTGCTGAGGAGAGTCTGAGGAGAATCGCCGGAGCGGGAGGAGAAGCTCGCAGTCGGCCGCGACGTTGCCTAACGCCGCAAAGCCCGGCTAGGTGAGGCCGAGGCTTCTCTCCCGGAGCCGACGTGGTAGGCCCCGAAGGCCATCGGGTCTCTCCTTTATCTGGGGTGGGGGGGAGCGGACTACAAAGCCCATCTTCCCCCGCCGGCCCCTCTTGAAAGGGGTGGAGGAGCTCTTTTTTTCCCGTCCTTCCCATGTTACCTCTACGACGCCCGTCTTCTCCAAGAACGAACTCTTGGCGCCGCCCGGCTGGGGAGGATGGGAGTTGTTATCCCCACCACCACCACCACCATCTTTCTGGCTGCTCTGATTCTGTACGGGTCTTCTGCTTGAGCAGGGGTTGGGCTAGATGACCTCCCGGGTCCCTTCCAACTCTGATTCTATGATTCTGTAAAGGTCTGATTGAGCAAGGGGTTGGACTAGATGATCCCCGAGGTCCCTCCCAACCCTGTCATTCTGTAAAGGTGTCCTCCTTGAGTGGGGTTCAGCTAGATGACCTCCAACATCCCTTCCAACTCTGTCCTTCTGTAAGGGTCTCCTGTTTGAGAAGCGGGTTGAATTAAATGATAGATGGTTGAAAGAGATAAGAGTTAACAAAGAGGTGGATACAGACAAATACTAAATAGAAGATAAATGGATGGATAGATAGATACAAATACTAAATAGAAGATAAATGGATGGATAGATAGATACAAATACTAAATAGAAGATAAATGGATGGATAGGTGGGTGGATAGGTAGTTAGGTAGATGGTTGATACAAATACTAAATAGTAGACAGACAGACAATAGATGGATGGATAGATGTGTGTGTGTTTATCTGTATATGTTTATGTCTCTATACAGTCACATCTACCTGCTACCCAGCTGCCTCCAAAGCACCTCCAGGCAGCTTATCTGGGTTTCCGTCCACGCCAGGTTTCAGTCCCAAAAGTCACCCTGCGTTTGGCAGGAACCAGTCCTGCCACCTATAATCTTCTTTCCTTCCTCCCTGGGGGGTATAGTCAGTTGTCTTCCTGGGTTGTAGGAAAGCTGCCGAGGCTGGTACGCTTAGGACCTCAGCCTTGGCGTGTGAAGCTTGCCCTGTTTTATGACGTTTCTCGCCACCACGCTCAACGCCATGGTCATTTAACGTTCGTGAGTTGCTTTGAGTTAGATTTAGAGAGAAAAGAGGGGAAAAAGTCCCTTTGTTTCAAGGCCCTTTTAACTTTAAGTCATCGTTAAACTAGTTGTCATAAGTTGAGGACTATCCTCCGAGTCTGTTACTGAGCATCAGTGGACGCTGCCACTGTCGTAAATGCGAACAATAGTAATAAGCCCCATTTATCAGTGGCGTAACTTCAAACAGTCACTAAGCGAACGGTTGTAAGTCGAGGTAACTCGTTTGGTCCTTGCTTGTTTCTCCACTGATCAACTTTTAGTTTTTAGCTGGTCAATTTTTACTTCTCAGCTGATCAATTTTTACTTTTTTGCATTTTTAAGTTTTTCACTGATTAAGTTTTAGCTTTTCCCTGTTCAAGTTTTACTTTTCAGCCAATCAATTTTTACTTTTTAGTGCAAAAGTTTCAATCATTTTTGCTCAAGCCGCCTTTAAAATTTGTAAGCAAAGCATTTTATCCTTTTTTTTTGTCCCTTTGTTTAAAGTTGCGTTGCTCGTGTGTTTTTTAAAATTTCTATTTTTGGCCTTTAATTGTCGGGTTCCCAAAATAGAAGCGGCTATAAAGTCTTTTCCTCTAATTTAAAACTGGTTTTTGTGGGCTTTTATTTCTGTTTTCATCTACAGACCCCAGCTCTGCCTTAAATCTCTTGAACGTCGTTAGATACATTTAGCTCCCTGAATGGAATTTGACTGTCTGCCATTTTCTTGGCTTGGAGTTATTCTGTATATTTTATACAGACACAGTAACATTTTCCTTCAGGGAGTCCTCGACTTCACGACGACTCATTTACCCACCACACAAAGCTCCAGTGGCACTTGGAAGAAACCGGGCCTTAGCACCGTTTGTCACACTTAACACCCGTCGCAGAAATTACCCCCCTCCCGATCGACATCCAGATGCTTGGCCACCAACTCGTATTTACAACAATCGCAGCATCTCGGGGAGGGGGGTGTCACATGATTCCCACCCCTTTTTTGCGACCTTCGGATCACTTATTTGAACAACTTGCCGGGATACCCAGGGACCAGAAACGTCGTGAAATGGGACAGAACTCGTTTAATGGAGGTTTCCCTTAGCAACAGGAATTTGGGGGCCTCCCTTACTGGTTGTAGGTCTTCTTGTAGGCACCCCGGTGTCTTTACCATATGGTTTCTGTAAGGGTCTCCTCCTTGAGTAGGGGGTTGGACTAGTTGACCTCCGAGGTCCTTTCCAGCTCTGTTTTTCTGAGGGTCTCCAGGTGGAGCAGGGAGTTTAATTAGATGACCTCTGAGGAGCCTTCCAATTCTGTCATTCTGTAAGAGTCTCTTGATCAAGCAGAGGGTTGGACTAGATGTCCTCCCAGGTCCCTTCCAACTCTGTCATTCTGCATGGGTCTCCTGCTTGAATCACAGAATGACACAGTTGGAAGGGATCTGGGAGGTTATCTAGTCCCACCCCCTGCTCCACCAGCAGACTTTTACAGAATTGTAGAACGACAAGAGTGCGAAGGGACCTGGGAGGTCTTCTAGTCCAGCGGTCGCCAACCGGCGGGCCTCTTGGTGGGCCTGCTATATTGCTATTTTTCTGACCATCATCTGTTCCGCTGTGCCAGGAGATTTAGATTAGCTAGGAGGCAGGAAATGGTTGGATTTCTTGCTTTCTTGGTTGGATTTCTAGCTAGTCTTGAGATCTTCAGCTCTGCATTTAAGCACAGCCGAATCTCCCTTAGGACTGAGTTTGCTTGCTAGCAAATTTTATGTGACAGACTGAGCTAGCCAATGGCAGAAAGATAGATCTCTGAATGAATCTGTGGTTCTGTGAGCAACTCAATCTGCCTGCCTGCTTGGCCCGGTTTTGGGTAAAAGTTGCTCTTTTTTAATAAAAAATTCAATATTTATATAAATATTTATAATATTTACATACAAACCATGCCCAGCTAGTCACATGACCACAAAGCCACACCGACAAATTAGGCCACGCCCACAGAACCAGTTGGTGGCCCCTGGGATTTAAAATTATGAATTTGGTGGTTCCTGAGGTCGAAAAGGTTGGCAACCCCTGTTCTGGTCCAACCCCACTCAAGCTGGAGACCCTTACAGAATCATAGAATAACAGTGTTGGAAAGGACCTGGGAGGTCATCTAGGTCAACCCTCTGCTCCAGCAGTTTTATGTTGTTAAGTGAAACATTAGCGAAACATTGCTTCCATTTGACAATCTTTCTGGCCACCATTGTGAAGCGAATCTTGCAGTTCGTTGATGGAAAAACGGTCCAGAGTCCCTTTTTTCCCCCCATGCCATGGTAATTTTGAACCGTCACTAAATGAGGGGATCTCAATGAGGGGACTGCCTCTGGAGAAAACCACAGTGTTTTCCCCCCCTAGTTTTAAGTCCAAAATTGTAAGGAAAGGCATTTTGAGTTGGAGGTCCAAGCGGCGTCTTTATGTAACACAGCTAGTCTGGTACTTCGGAAAGGTGATCTCAGAATTCTGTCGCTAAGTGACACGGTCGGAAACTGAGGAATATTATTGGTGTTAGGAGGGAGGGGGTTTGTGGAGAGAAGGAAGAGGAGGATTAAGGGGTTCCTGGTGCTCTCTAAGCTGGTCGGGTGATTTGCTTGCAGGCGTCTCATGACCGAACTAGGGAACATCATCAGTGTTAGTGGAGAGTAGGGTTGTTCTCAGTTTGTATATCATCCCATTCAGCCCTGATGATGTTCCCTAGTTGGGTCATGAGACGCCTGCAAGAAAACAACCAGGCCCAGAGAGCACTAAGGACCCCACAGTCTGTCTTCGTTCCTTCCTTTCCTTTCCTTTCCTTCCTCCCTTCTCTGATGATGTTCCCTTGTTGGTCCAGAAAACGAGCTCAGAGGGCACCAAGGCCTCCATAGTCCGCCTCCAAATAACAGGGACCTTGGAGGTCTTCTAGTCCAACCCCCTGCTCAGGCAGGAGACCCTTTCCTCCTCCTTCTCCTCCTCCTCCTCCAAATAACAAGGGTCCTTGGAGGTCATCTATTCTAACCCCCTGCTCAAGCAGGACAGCCTCCTCCTCCTCCAAATAACAGAAATGGAGGGGGCCTTGGGGGTCTTCTAGTCCAACCCACTGCTCAGGCAGGAGATCCTTCTCCCCTTTCCTCCCCCTCCTTCTCATAACAGAAGTAGAAGGGACCTTGGAGGTCATCTAGCCTAACCCCTTGCTCAAGCAGGAGATCCTTCTCTTTCTCCTTCTCCAAATAACCGAAATGGAAGGGACCTTAGAGGTCTCCTAGCCCAACCCGCTCCCCAAATGGGAAAACCTGACCCCAGCGGTTGTCCAATCTCTTCTGAACCAACTCTTCTTTAAACAAACAAAAACAAACATCCAGAATTTGCTGCCTGGGACACTTGGCTTGGAAAACAGGGTGCACCTGCAGGAAGGGAGCAGCCAATTATGGGGAGAGGCTTGGCACACCTTTCCACCTGGAGCCAAACGGGGAAAGGCGTTGAGCACCGAGCCTGCTGGGCTCTTCCCGAAGTTGCCTCAGCCCCCGCCCGCCCACCCACCCGTCCTTGTCCTCACCCAGGTAAAAGGTTTCTTTTCTCTCTCTTTGGCTTTCTTGTGCTTTTTCTGGGTGCTTTTCTTGCAGACGTTTCATGACCCAACTAGGGAACGTCATCAAGGCTAGAAGGGAGGAGGGTTTGTGAGAAGGAGGAAGAGGAAGTAGAGAAGGAAAGAAAGAAAGAAAGAAAGAAAGAAAGAAAGAAGAGGCGAAGGAGGACTGTGGGGGACTTGGGCTTTCTGAGCTGGGTGCTTTTCTTGCAGACATCTCGTGACCCAACTAGAGAACATCATCAGGACTAGAAGAGAGAAGTTGTGGAGAGGAGGAGGAGGAGAAGGAGGAGTATGGGAAAGAAAAAGATGGATGGGAAGGAGGGAGGGAGAAGCGAACGAAT